CTTGCTTGCTTGCTTGCTTGCTGGCCAACCAGGCACAGAGCACGCTCGCGCCACGTTCGATTGAAATTGTGATGGTTGTTTTGTTTGCTGTTGCGGTAGCTGTTGATGCTGCTGCTATTCTTCTGGTTGTTGTTGTTGCTGTTGCTGTCATGTTGGTCCAGCGAGACGGCAGATGCCGTGTTGAGTTCAGCAGCATTGCATGAGCATCCGTCTGTGATTGTGCCAGCTGAAAGATACCTGACGTGTACTTCAGGTTCGAGGTTCTGAGGGTCTTCGCGCAGCTCCCCACCTTAGGTTCTCCCTTGGATGTTTAAACTTGCGTGCCGAATGCGCAGATTGCAATCGCCAATTCCTGTGCGCTTTGTTGCCCCGGAGGAGTGCGGGGTCCAAGGGTCCGTGGGGATTCCACGACCCCATGGATAACACGGCAAACCATAAGCCATGGAATCCCGCAAGACCGAACTTCGAGCCGGATGTAAACCCGAACCCCGCAGACTTAGCGCGCAGTAGCAACAGCAGCAATAGTATGAGGAGGGGGAGGAGAAGGCTAATAGGCAGCCGCAGCAGCAGCAGTAGCTCGTGTCGATATGGTGGTCCAGTCGTGGTTTCAGTGCCTTCCTCGTCCTGAACCCTAAACTCCGAACCCCGCAAGCCCCAAATCTCACCCTGCTTTGTAACCCTTGAAGAGGGCGTTAAAGGAACCTTTATACGGAAGCCTAAGCACTCTATGATCCTGCGGGGCAGCGCTGAGCCGCGGAAGTCTCTGCGACGGTTGAGCTGTAGACTACGAAAAGTTTGTGTGCGTGTGAACGACGGAGGGCTTTCAACAATTGATAGGTTTTCTTCCCTGTGGTTGAAAACAAAGCTAAATGAAGTATTTGCTAAATGCCGAGTGCTTTTAGTAAGGCCTCTATATTGGTCAGGCTTGGGGCTTGTTCAGGTTGTGTATGTGTTTGCTTGCTTCCATGTTCTTCTGGCATCCGTGAGGCTACCAGAGCGGAGTGTGCGGGTTTAGGGTTTGCGTTTTGGGGTTTGAGGTTTAGTGTTCCGCGGAATTGGACAGGAATTGTCCGAAGGTTGAAAGGAGAACTCACAACAAAATCCGACAGCCTCAACTAGCAAGGACCCACATGCCCCACAACCTGAAGTTGTGCAGTCGCAAAGCCCCAACATCAGTCATGCATGATCCATCCTTCACTCTCATCTCTCTCTCTCTCTGTCTCTCAGTCTCTCTGTCTCTCTCTCTCTCTCTGTCTCTCTCTCTCTCTCTCTCTGTCTCTCTCTGCTAATCATGCAACCGCTTGCAAAGCCGCTCCTCCCCATGCCCTAAACCGTAAGCACACAACATCGCTAAACCCCAAAGCAACTTTCAATCTTCCTTAATCTGACACTGAGGATGATTCCCTAAAGCCCTGAACCTGAACTCCCTAAACCGTGAACCCAAACCCGACACCCGACAACCTTAAACCCTAAGCCCTGAACCCTAAGCCCTAAAGCCCTCGAGCCCGAAATCCTGAGCCACCGTCAACCGAGATCCTGGTCTTCACAAAGTGACTGCTCCGAGGGTGCACACATCTAGACTAGGGTGGCCTTAATAATTAGAGTAGAGTTCCTTTACAGGGTTCCTTGAAGGGTTCTATAAGGGCTACTATAAAGGGTTTAGGCTTTAGGGGCCTGAATAATTTGAAGAGGGTGGTTCTTGTTGAGGAATTGAGCTTCAGTTGCATTAAGAGGGGTCTACAATCATTCGTATAGCAGGATGTTGACTTGAAGTGAATTCCCGAACAAGAGCCCAGAAGATCTTCAGGTGTTCCAATCGTCGGAGCGTTTCTGCGTAATATAGGGGCCTAGATAATTACCTACACAATTTTTGGGGGCTCCTTCTTATAGTTATAGAGAATGGGCCCCAAAGCCCTATTCTACTTATAAAGGCCCCTACATGGCTCCTTGCAGGCCCAGTCAACCTTCATAGGGGCCTAGGGTTTAGGGTTCAGGGGTTTAGGGATTTCGACAAGCTTTCGGTGAAGTGCACATCCGCGCAGGAAGAGCTGCCGAGTTGCGGGTTCATGAGTGGCGCCGAGTGCTGTCTTTCGACCCGTCATTGGTGCCAGACGGCGCAGAAAGGAAGGCAGGTCATTCCGAGAGCCTCAGGGAGGTGGGGACCCAGAGAAGCGGCACATCAACTTGGGATGTCTGCAAGGGGGAGGGGGTTTGTGAGAGATTCTTCGTTCTGTGTCCCCCCCCAACATATCCATGATTGCCTTGCAACAGATCTTCGCCGCACTTGCTTCTCGAAATCTTCTCGGTAGGCATCTGCAAATGCCCCGGAGCTCTGAGTCTGGAGTTTAGGAGTTTAGACCCTAGATCCTTAAGTCCCTGCGCACCCGAAACGCTTTCAACGTAATGAGCCCGCATGGCAAGGATAGCATCTGTCGCAGTAGCTTTGGCGATCTGCGGCAGTCATAGTGCTTTTGGGTACCTATGATGTTCGTGGTGATCCTCGTTGTAATTTTTCTAACGCACAGTACGAGTAGGATAAACGAAATACACATAAGAAGACCGACAAGGGACAGTAGAGCAAATCCAGCAGCAAAGATTCTGCAAAAGTCAAATTAGCAATGGTCATAGTTGTAAGTATAGTACGAGTAATGATAGTTTCCAGCGTTGTACGAGCGCTGCGAGTATCAAGCGTCATAGCCACATCACTTCAACCAGCAGCAGCAGTAGCAGCGTGTCAGCAACATGCCCTAACATGCCCCCCTGTTTGTCGACGCTGCCTGCTGCCGCTCCGTGGTTCCAGGCAGTCGTTTGGTTCTTATTTCCAGTCCATTATATGGGATTGTGGCATATGACGGCCACATCTACTTCTTACGTAGCCAAGACCCCAATGCTATGGTATTGTAAGCGACTGCAAGACTACGACCTACTTCTAGTACCACTAGTGCCACTGGAACCACGACGACCACCACCACTACCATTGCTACCAGTACTACCGCCGCTACCGCTGCTACTGCGGCTACCAGTACCACCCCTACCACCAGTACCCCTCCTCCTCCTCCTCCTGCTACTGCTACTGCTACTACTACTACTACTACTACTACTACTACTACTATCCCTACCACTACTACTACAACTACTACCACTACTACTACTACTACTACTACTACTACTACTACTACTGCTACTACTACTACTACTACCACCACCACCACCACCACCACCACTACTACTACTACTTCTACTCCTGCTGCTGCTGCTACTACTACTACTACTACTACTACTACCACTAGCATCACTGCCACTGCTGTAAGCACTAAACCTTAGACCCTAACCCTGAAACGATTCATTCGCATCTCTGCCCCTCCGCTTGGCATCTCGGGGCCTGTTGATGGAGTGGGTGCACTATCACAATACACAGAATGGCACAGAAGAGCCTGCCAAAGCCAGGGGGAAGGCCGGAAACCCGGATCTTTGATAGTAACGGGTACTACTATCTAGTTTTGCTTGGTAGTATAATAGGTATTACTAAAATTAGTGTTTTAAAATATAGTATAGCAGGTATATGACTATTATCATTATCATTATCGTTGGTAGTATGATTGGTACGATGATTCTTCTTCTTGCTATTAATTATGAGAAGCCAGGATTCTAGAGGTTTCAAGGCTTGCGACTCAAGGGCCCAAAGTCTGCAGTAAAGGGCATCTGGAGTTCAAGCAGGGACTTACGTTCGGGGGTTGGCGTTTATCACATTACAGCAGGGGGAGGTGCTTTGCTCAGGTCTAGGAGTCTAGGACCTAGAGGTTGCCGGCGAGGGATGTTGTCGTTTTATTCTTGTTCTGGTTATACAGCGCTAGGGTTCACATGACCGTTAGTCTTAGTCTCGCCACCATACACCTGGAAATGTCCAGTCGTTTGTACTACTGTCATTGTCAACGGTTTGTGTGTAGTGAACGGTCTCTTTGCGTCCCTCTGCCTTACTTGGCGGAGGTTGGAATCCGCTCCAGCGGCTTCAACTCTTGTTGCTGTTGCAGCGATGCTGGAAATTTTGCATTTTGTTTCCGTTCCTGGCTGTGGCCCTAAACCCTAAACCCTAAACCCCTAAACCCTGAACCCTAAACCCCTAAACCCTAAACCCTGAGCCCTCGTTTTTCCAAGCACCATGCGTTCGGCTCCCAGCTCGACTTTTGTGTTGTCGCACATCAGCGGTTTTGTATAGCAGCAACTGTCTTGCCGTTTTTCTGCGGAGCTTCTAGGGTTTAGGGGGTAGGGTTTAGGGATTAGGGTTAGGGGTTTAGGGTTGTGTCCTAAGAAGTTGCACGCTCTCATGCGCTGTCTTCCTGCCACTGCACTCTAAACGATTCTAGTTAGCTTGCAAGGTATCGCCAAAGTTCGCAGCATCTATTGCCGTTCGCGACGGTCGTCCAACCCTAACCCTAGACGCTGGCATGTGTTATAGAAGTGAGAGCTCAGAGCAGCGGTTTGCTATTATGACTGTATGTAGTCGTCCTACACTCCTATAGGTTGCAATGGTTGCTGCTACCTTTGTGTAATCCCCACGGTGAAGATAAGAGAGTCAATGTTCAGCAGTACTACTATTTCTTGGCTTCCAGTATTTCTGTTCCTATTCTTCAACTTGCGAGTTTTTTACAACGAGATGATCTCCAAACTCGAGAGGCATCAGGTATATTGTTATCACTCGTGCCGCTACTGATATTTCTGCTGCTGCGGTGGCGGTGGCGGTGGCGGTGGCGGTGGCGGTGGGGGTGGGGGTGGTGGTGGTGGTGGTGGTGGTGGTGGTGGTGGCTGCTGCTGCTGCTGCTGTGACTGTTGTCGTTGTTGTTGGTGTCGTCGTCGTCGTTGTTGTTGTTGCTGTTGGTGTTGTTGCTGGTGGTGGTGATGTCGATGATGATGCTGTTGCTGTTGCTGCTGCTGCTGCTGCGGCTGTTGCAATGTTGCTGGTGTTGTGTATTGCTGCTGTTGGTTTCGTGGTCAATTCTGTCCATGGCTTCTGGCGTCTGCATGATTTCAACTCTCGTTTGTCACCAATGTCGTGTTGCAGCTGCAGCACTTGACAAGTTCGATAATCAAGTGCGCAACTTTCATGCTTTCCTGATATCGAAACAGCTATGAGCCTGGTGATGCTGATGGTGGTGATGGCGAAAATGCCGATGCCGATGCTGCTGATGATTCTAGCAGTGATGATTCTGGTGATGCAGGCGGATCTGACGCCGAAGTTATGACGATGTTGATTTGCTGATGTTGACGGTGTTGATAATTGTCTGTTGGTGATGGTGGTGGACGAGGTTGGTGATGATGATGTCGCTCCTGAAAACTCGCGGCAAAGAGTTCTGTTCTACTTCGCAATTTTGCTGGCCTTCCACGCTTGGAGGGGGCTGCAGGCCAAACTCCTCGCTGCCCCACAAGCACGGCGGTTGGAAGATGTAGCCTGGCCTCCCAGCACAAAGCTTTTTGATGTTGCATCAAGCATGAACCCTGTGACACTCACTATATACTTTGTACGGCACTGCTTGGCGGCTCTTTACCGCGATCCCAGTTTGATTGCAACAGCTGTTCTGAGACACGAACTCAGCGAAGGGATCGCCGGAAGAGTTGCCGTAGACGGGCCGCTCCACGCAAAGGAGCTCTCCAGTTGTTTGATCGCAAACCTCTTCTACATGCGCAGAAACAAATCGACGAAGCCCAGTCCAGCGAACACGCGTGTGCCCCCTGCCGTCTACGGAGCCCGATCCCAAGACGGTGGACCTTCGTCCCCTTGGGGCAGCGGTACATCGCCATGGAGAGACAGGTCGGCGCATGGCAGTGGAAGTGGGCAGCTGACAGCGCGCCCTCGCCAGTGAAAGTGCCTTTGATAGTGTGAATCCTCGGTCTCGGAGGAAGCAAACAACAGGCAGGCACCATCAACATTGCCAGCTAAAGGTGTCGAGCGCAATGGCACGAGACAAAACCTAGACGGGATCAGGCTATTTTTATTGCTGATGGGTGTACCAGTGTATGACTCAGCCACCATGATTATTATGTATATTCGTTTAGCTGGAATTTGCAGCTGGCGTCCAGCTCCCATCGCTTTCGCGGGAGCAGCCCATCACAGATTCTGAGCACTTGGGCACGTCGTACTCGACGGGCGAGGCAATTCCCCACGTTACCTTTTCTCTCTCTGTCTCTCTCTCTCTCTCGCTCTCTGTCTTTCTGTCTCCCTCGTTCTGTCTCGCTCCCGTACCTCTTGTGACGTCACCTGAGTCACCTGTACCCACCAACAACATCTATTTGCGCTGGGCGGTGTGCAGGTGAGAGTCTCGCCGCAAGGCTGTGTGATAAGACCTGTTGTATTCCTCGACCCAGAAGCGGAACTTCAAGGTGTACTCAAGGGGCCGATCCGGCCATGGAATGGGTTGATCGGCATCCAGGAGGGACCACATGTGGTGGCATGCCAGCTGACCACCCGAGTAGTTGCGAAGGTCACAAGTGGGATTCCTTGGCTTGTGTATGATTAAGGTATTCAGCCAGAAGACAACTCTTTGGCTTTAGATCGCGATCGCTGGCGTTTTGATTACTCTGCTTCTTATAGTTTAAGGTGTTATGATGGCTCAAGGTGATGTGTTGACAGAAACCGAAAGGGCAGAATGCCACAAGCTGTCCGAGAGACCGCATGGCCAAGAGGTCACTCCTGGCCAGGCGTATACCAGCAGGTAAGCAGACTACAATCCTGCGCTGAACGCCATCCTAAACTGGACATACCAAGCCTCCAAGCAAACAGAAAAGAATGGGCTACGCCTGAAGCTGGCAGCTAGGTGAAGTCGACCTATGACCGGCCGATTGGGCGATTGCCAAGTTTGAAATCCACTGTATGAAAGACGACCCTGAGCAAGCCAAGAGACGGAATGACTATATATATATATATATGTACTTTTATATGTATTCTGTATATATATATATATATATTATTGCATCTATCTATCTATCTATCTATCTATCTATATACACACATACATGTATACATGTATACGTATATCATATGATTCCTCCCACAATTCCCTCCCTCCTTCAATCCTACAGGCCAACTCCTTCTGCTTTTGCTGGTTTACACCAGACGAAACAAACTCTGGCGGTTCTGGCAAAGGGCAACCTCAATCAACCTTCTGCACAAAAGCTGCCAGCAGAAGTGGTGGGCAGACTCAGCAACAGCATTCGATGCTAACAAGAGCAGTAATCGGAGCATCATCGTGTCAACTTCAACTGCTGGTATCTAGCAGTACTGGTATGACTCGGTCCTATGCGCTCCGCGCGCTGCTTGACTTGCAGATCTGCAGCCATGTTGAAACACAGCTCCATTAAACCTTCAACCTCTGGACGACACTGTTCCCATGACTGCATTCGCCTCAGAAGCCTAAACCACCAAGGCTCCACATGGGGACTCCAAGACACCTCATTGCACCTGCTGAGCGGCGGCCTCAAGTCCCTGAATCCCGAACCCTAAGACCTTACGAGTAAGATCCCCCGGAATGCAATCCCAAACCGTTCTAAACACCAAAAGCCAGATTTTTGTCCCAGCCTGGGTTGTTCGGGGCAGTGGTTGTTGAAGCCCACGCTCCCAGAGCCCTGGTCCTGGCAGATCGAAGATTTGACGAGTATTCACTGTTCAGGCGCTGGGGCTCTCCTTGTAACAGTGTCTGTGTTTAAAAGCAAAAACATATAGATGGGTACATTGGTACACTTGTACACATTACTTGTTTCATGCACTTTGAAGTCTGAATCCGTGCGAAGCTGGCCACATATGCACATGGGTCGGCAGGTTGGTAGGTCGGTGGGTCGGTCGGCAGGCAGGTAGGTCGAAGTTAAACAACTGAGACACGTGGGCACTTGCACACAGCTGTACGTACACACACGCACAGCGGCAGGCCACATGTTTCAAGTGCCAGTTATGTAGGATGACAAGCTGAGCAGGAATAGATTAGTTAGTATCTGTGGCTGTCGCATTGAAGCGAGTTAGGGTGTTTGCGGGCTAGAACATAATGTGGTTTGGTTGACGTCGGCAATTTTCAAAACAACAGAACATGGCTTTCCGGCACGTCCCAGCAACACAGCAAGAAAGAACCTGCCAGATTTTGGATGCAGAGTGTCCGGATGGAGTAGAAATCCTACTTTGAGCTCAAGGCTGCAAGAAAGAGTTTGGGAAGCAAACCCCGATCACGGGGATTTCAGAAACCTGACTTGTGAGATCGACATGTGCACGTGGTCTTGCGGGCCTCCAAATAGCAGGTTTAACGTAGGGGCCTTAATAATTAGAACAGGGTTTTGGGTTCCTTTTTTAGTATGTTTTAGATAAGGAGCCCTAGCAATAATATTGGTATTTGGTTAGGCTTCTGTTTTAGGCTACAAGGGCGGGTGACATGGAACTTGTGAGGATCAAGAAGCCCCACCCTGCGATGCTTCCGAAGCCTGACACCCCTACAAGACTTCTCCAGACAGAAGTCGTAACCTTCTGGCTTAGGGTTTAAGGGTTTATATTGGGTTTAGGGTTTGGGGTAAACTAAACCTACACTCCACACTGCGAGACCTGAAGAACCCGGGAAGCCCCCAAGCACCCGCACGTGCTCGCGGTCCTCCGGTTGGCCGGTGGGGTGGTACTCCATAGAGCCTGTGCCCTGACCAAACCTAGGGTTTCGGGTTCCTTTGGGGTTTCGGGTTTAGGGTTTGGGTATAGGGTTTAGGGTTTCGGGTTTTGGTTTTCGGGAGGGCATTTCGTCCTCTGCGAAGGACGGGTCCCTAACATTGTTTGCTAATCATTACATACACTCTTCTACTATAGAAGACCACAAGGGGAATCCAAAGGCAGCCCATCGCGACCTAGCTTTGGGGATTCGGGAGCAGGCTCTCCGCAGTTTAGAGCAAGGGTGGTTCGGGCCTTGAAAAAGCAAAGACTGATGTTCGAGGAGAATGATTCTAAGGGCTTCGGGTTGAGGGTCGATTTGGGCTTCAGGTCAAGGACCTAAGAACCAGTTCAACATCCTAGGGCCTTAGGCTTGAGGCATAAACCTCTTGAAGACTGGCGAATGCTACATTACACGAACCAGTCTTGCATTCACCAACTCACTATCGATTTTATTATGGGCTTGCAATCAGACGACGTTGTCAAGGAAGAAGGGAGCGTGTCTTTCGAACTCAACCGAAGAGCGGAATAGGCTTTCCTCTGCAGATGCAAGCGCCATTCACATCCACCGGAAGAAAGGTCAGCTGACCAGGACTGCGCTGACTGTGGTATGACAGGTTTGGAGTATTGCCAACCGCACTGATGAAATTGAGCTCGCCACTCCCATCCTTGGCTCAACATGGCTCCACTGATGAAGGAAAGTATGGCCTGCTTGCGGCAGTTCGCAAACCACGCTTGGAAAGCCAAGCATCCGTGAAGGGGGTGAAGGTGTAGTAATCCGAGGAAGCTCCCTTCAAGGGTCTCGTCAGCGTCAGGGACCTAAGGTCTCCTTGGACCTTCGTCTCCTGAATGGAAACCGACGGCTTCAGCAGCCGGCCGGCCTGGTGATGTCCCAGCTTCCGCTCTGTGACAGCGCCCGACCCATCGACGATGAGCGCCCAAGGCGAGTCAGCCATGCCCACCGCGTTGAAGCCTCGGCCATATGCCGAGTCTAGAATTCAGGATTCGACGCAACACAGGTAATTAGTAGACATCTTGCAGTCAGATACGCTGTGAATGTTTAAGAACAGAACTCAGCAGAGTTGTCTGGGACAGCCAAGATGCCTACACCAAACCAAACGGAGGCAGGGCCTGTCAGATATATGCGCGCTTGCTCAAGGGTCAGGTCCAGTGACACCGACACATTCACCAGAGGGCTGCTCGCTCCAACAAACTTCTTGGCATCAGCGGCACCTTGGGCTCAGCTATTCCTGGAGCATCGGCAGGTCCGAAAACGTGGAGACCTCTGCTTGCGGCTGTGTTGCAGGCAGCGTCAGCTGTCCCGCGGAGCCGGGGGTCCTGAGTCAACCCAAAGACAACAGCTTTCTGATAGGTGCCATAGCAGCATAAGCAACGTCCTGGTGCAACTTCAGCGTGGAGCGCCCACTGTGATTCGCCTCCCAGGTGTCGGTCTTCCACATCCACAGATAGAGATCAGAGCCTCCGCTGTTCCTTTCTTGGGCCCCTCCGCCTTGAAGTGGACACGGACCAGGTCCATCTCACGGCTGTCGGCCATGGCAGTGCAACCTATGGTGCCAGCCGGAGCCGGCTCCAGCACGAAGCGCCGGTGCTGCCCAAAAAGCGCCGACCGAGCAAGGGCCAGGCACTCATCGCCTGTCGCCACACTCGATTTGGAAAACTTTCCCCTGCTTCGATTCGCACCCGGTGTGAATCCCGAACCATCACAAAAAGGACGACTCAAACAAGGTCAACCCAGGAACCCCAAAACCATCCACAAAGCANNTGACCACTGATGGACCCCCCCCCCCCACCGGCCTCCCGTGCCGCACCGATGAAACCCTTCCGATCGCGCACGTTCCACTTTCGACAGCAACAACTGAAAACGCTTTCGAGCTACAGTATCTGTCTCACAGCAGCAAACAGTCCCCATTCCTTTGCTGGACTGAGAAGACATCTACTTGGTGGCATCATCAGAAGCTCGATGTTTCGCAGCCTGGACATATAGAGACCTTCTGATTCTGCAGCCATCGCCCGCAGAAGCTCCACACGACTTCCCCCCCCACCCCTCCAAAAAAAAAAAAAAAAAAAGAAAGGCCCTCAAGAAGTCTGCCTGACTCTGGTGGGCTTGAGCACGGCCCCCCTTGCAAGCGGACGATCGCCTCACCGGGCACCTGAGAGGAGGAACCCCTCCGAGACTCCCAGGTTGAGGCTTCCAAGATTTTTGCAGACTTTCGGAATTTGGGGAACCCCAAAATCCAAGTAACAGTATGGGAGGCTGCTTTCCGGGTTCTAGTCCCATGCGATAGATCTGAGCACAGCTGACCCCAACCCTTCTTGCCTCGTGGCTTGCCTGCTAAATAGCTGCCAACAGTAGTTGCGGGAAATGTAGACACTGTCATATTCATGCCCTGTCCAGTGGATATCAAGGAAGTGCGCCGGGCTGGGGGGAAACCATGCCAGGAGATTACGGGAGGCTTGTTGATTGCTCGGGACGCACCACACCTTGTCGAAGAGTTTATCACCCTTTGTGCTTTTCGTATGTTACAGTGCTGGCACATGGGAAATATGCCTGCGGCTGTGACGATGTTGAGGCTTACCGCCCGTACTGCCGATCCCGAGGCAACTGTATGGTAGTTCGGAACTGACCACCGCCATTTCGGAACAGAGAGTGCAATAACAGTGCACTGATCACAACTTAGCGTTCCGAGCTAAAGCTGTGAACGGCAAATCCGGCCATCACCAAGTAAGAGAACCTGGAAGCTTTGCCTAAACCCTACACCTGAAACGCAACTCCCATCCTGGCAAGGAGCATGCTTCTGAATGCGAGATGTCACAGGACACTCCAGCAACCTAAGCTCCAAACAACGCAGCGGGCTTCGGGTGTTGAGACAGGAACCTCACAAGCAACGTCACTTCATCATGCGTAATGTATGCCCCATGATGAGGATGATGGCCAGCAAGAGCAACATCATGATAAGAATGCAGTACTAATTACAGGGATCGTTATGGTCATGGTAATCAAAACATAAACGACACTACTACGACTGCTGCGGAAGCCACTACTACTGCTACTACTACTACTACTACTACTACTACGACGACTACGACGACGACGACTACTACACGTACTTCTGCTCATCCTCCTCTTCCTACTCCTGGTGGTGGTGGTGGTGGTGCTGCTGCTGCTGCTTCTACTAGTACTGGTAGTGGTGCTACTGCAACAATAACAACATGTTTGCGATTGTTTTTGAATTGGTTTGAAAGCCATTGAATCCTATTTCTAGGACACGCACGTCCACTGTGCCAGGAGGCCCGGAATAGAGGGCGTCGGGTCCGGAGATCGGTGCCAGGGAGCTCCTCGAAGATGAACAATGGGTCCCCGAAAAGTTCTGTGTTCTCGGGGTTTTCATGTGGTTTGCGGGGTTTAGTGGGGATGTTTTGCTGGTGATGCCAGATGTTTGGAGCCCTCAAGGGTCTTCATTGAAGGATGCGACAGCTCGTACTGCGGAGCGCCACGGGCTAATTTGGAAGCGTCCTGGGCACAGGTCCCGACACGAAGCGCGTCGGGTGAGAGATGTTCATCTTGTCCCTGTTCCACGTGTCAATCTGCATCGGCGTAATCTGGATCTGAGTCGGAGACTCAACTACCTGGTACAGTTCTGAGATGCTCCGAGCCGGGGGCCTTCGTCAAATCCCTTCTTACCAGCCCCAAGCCAAGCCAAGCCAGAACCAGCCCCGCCTGCGCGAAGCCCGGTGCATAGCCATGGAAGCTCTTGCGATACTCGCCGCCATTGGCGCCGCCAATGCTCTGGCTCGCAGGAAGCTCCCCGGGCCCCTTCTCCCGCACGACCCACTCATGCTGCCCTGGCTTCCATGCAGTGCCTGCTCCGTGCCCGTGCTTTTCAGGAATGCGCGGATCTCCAGGACCCTGGATCAACGCGTGCTCGAAGGCGGCACGCTTTCCGATGATGGTGCTCTCGAAGTGGTGGTTGTAAGCCACGGAAATGGGCACAGAGACATCCCCGGCTTCGGTTCTCCGCACCTGGTCGACCTCGAAACCTACGATGGCCATGCCTTTACCGTCAAATCGCTGCACGATCTCTTTCGGCAGATCCACTGGCGGGAGTGCCTTCCAGAAGACTTGGGAGTATAAGCTTCGGATCGCCGGACTGTAGACATCAAAAAAGGCTGGCTTTCCGGGGTAGTTGCTGAACTGGGCTGGAAATCGCTTCTGCGTCTCCTTGCCGCCAGGAGTTTGAGACAGCACCTCGATCCGAGAGAACTCACGAGACGGCCCTGCGCTTGCTGCTTACATCTACACTCTACGCATAGGCCCCGTAGTAGTTCCTTTTTGGGGTTCATACTTAGAATCCTATAAGGTAATCCCAGAAAGGAACTACTCTGGAGCCTCTGGGTACACAGTGGGACTTGTAGTGATCTGCTCAGGAGAGGTCTACTGGACAAGCTCTCATCACCCATGTATCGAACCACGAAGCACCATGCTCCCTCTCCAGTATTCTCCCGTAAGGCTGGCACATAGTCACCTGGGAGTCGGGCATGATGCTTCATGTAGGGGCCTTAATAAGCAGAATAAGGTTTTGGGGCCCATTATACTATAATTGTAACAAGGAACATTATACTATAATATTAATAAGGAGCCCCCAAAATAATATTGGTAATTATGGAGGCCCCTATTTTACCACTGAGCTGTTTAGGATGTAACGAAGCGCGAACTAGCATGACATGATTCGAACCCTGGGTTCCTAAAGATCCTGAACTCCTCATCTTCCCGGCTGAACATGCCATGCATCATGTTGAAGCCTTGATAATTCGAATGGGGTTTTGGGGTATATTCTACTATAATTATAAGAAGTAACCCCTAAACTAGTATGGGTACTTATTTGGGCCCCTATATTACATACTTGCAGCCGTATCACCATTGAGGTTGCCAGAGTCAGTCGCTTCAGATGCCAGCGCCCCAGCGAGGAGCATCACGACTCGGATCATCTTGAAGGCACCCTCCCCCCCCACGCCCCGCAACTGACCTGCTCCTATTTGTGCCCAAAGCTGCTCCCAATCTCGCAGCCCGACGGCTGCGGCAGAAAGACGACATCTAAGTGACGTAGCAGAGTGCAACAGGTTCTCGATGCTCCAGGGCCCCACGAAGTTCTGTAGGCTCGCTTCACTCTGCGCTGGAGTTATCTTTGAGGTTGGAAGGAGTGGTGTCGACAATCTCGTCAATTGCTACAAGCTTGGAAGGTGTTCAGAAGGTGTAGGTGTCCAGCTACTCGGACATAAAGTACAAACTAATGTAACAGCATGTGCCCATGCTTTCTCACCGACTTCTCGACAAAGTCTGCTTATGCTACAGTCATGATGACAGCAACTACCAGCAGGCGTGCTAAATGACAAAAACGTTTTACTAGCGACGTAGTCCGCTATCATCATTTGACTACTGCCCTGCCCTGATCTCAAGAGCCTCAAGATAAAATTGGCGCTTGAACTGGTGAGCTCGGCGTCTCTTTTCTCATCGTCCTCTTCTGCGAAGTAGGTGCGACGGAATGCCTACTGCAACCGATCACTCCGAAGCCCAAATCCCAGCTCTCAATCCCTGGAAACAACCCAAATCTGTACTCCACCCCGAGATCCTCGAGCCTCCTTTAAAGGCCCCGAAGCCACGAAGAGGTTTCGGGCTCCAACGCTTGGGCCAAGGCTTCGCTTAGAAAGCTAGGGGAATATGGGTAGTTCTCTAAATTAGGGTCCTTTTTATAAGGGTGCCGTACTATATTGGGGACCTAAAAGGGGACCCTAATTTGGAGAACTACCCATATACAGAGACGGCAACACGAAGGCCATGAACGAAAACAACAAAGGTCAGGACAAAGATTGTTCCACATAACACAGGGGCCTTCATGGTTTCAATAGGGTTTTGGGCTCCATCCATTATAGTATACTTTTAACAAGGAACCCGAAGGATCAACAATAGTAATTGTTGAGGCCCTTATATTATTTACAAAGGGTCCGGAAAGTAGGTTGTATTAAGGATGGAAAATATGAAAACGGTGAATGCTGAAGGTACGGGGCTGATCAGTCTTGAGGCTCTGGTCGCTAGCTCCTCTGCCCAAGACGCTAGAGAGCTGAAGGCACCTCTACTCAAACGGTCGTGGGGATAAACGCCTCCCGAACGTCTGAGCATAGAGCCTGTCCGGGGGGGTTAAGGATGGGTGAAGGGCCTTCTGGGTGTTGGTGTGTGTGTGTGTGTGTGTGTTGTGCCGGGCTGATGTCAACACGCTAAGCAGAGGTGCAGGTCTGGAAAGAGGCATGGATGCAGAAGCTGTGACACGGAGCTACGTGTCCTTGAAGTGATCTCTGCTAATGTTCCGGCTACTGTTCCAATGCTTGTGCTCAGGATTGAAGGCGCTCACTACTTTCAGCGAGGGCTTCACACCCGTCAGTCCAGATTGTGATTCTCGGAAATAAGCACTGGAACGACAAGGCTACTCCTCGTAGCTTCACATCTACCGAAGACAGGGGGTCTACCAGGAAGTTGAAACAGCAAACGAGTCACATCTCAGGTTCGCCATGGGGGTTTCGATCTCAAAATGAAAGGGTACCCTCTTTCGGGGTCCTCCGTATATCTCTGAAACCCCGGGATCCGAGCCTCAGGATCTTCATGCACAGGACAAAGCGGTCACGGTCTGTGGCGTGGCCCTGGCCGGAGCTCCCAAAAAAGGGCGGAAGACTGCGAAGTGTTGAGACCCTCCTGGGGCAATACCTCAAGAGCCTTTGCAGTTTCTGGCTCCAGGTTAGAGCCTTCCGGTTCTTTGAACTTTGCACCTCAGAAGGGTCAGTAACTATCCACAATACCCGCTCTTCTGCGATGCCTGCATATCGATATCGAAGTGCCAAGTTAAATCAGCAGCATGGACATTGCTGATTGGACCGCATGCATACTTTCTGAAGCATGTCATGTCAGTCAAGATATAAATTGATCGTCAGATCTGAACAGAACCACCTTCATGTTCCACTCACAGGTCTTGCATCCTAGATCGCGTGCTTGGCCTCCAAAAGGAAGAGGCTAGGTTCGTCATTCACAAAATCGATGACGACCAGCCTGGAAAGGAAGCATGGTCGGTCCTCTCGCCCTGATCAGTTCTGACGGAAATGATTCTGAGACTTCGTTGACAGCTTCTTCTATCCGGCAGTCAAGTCAAGCTCAAAGGGGGAGGTGTTCTTGTAGGCCTGCTGCGCAGGCTTGGCATCCATTGTTTTGGGACATTCTGGCACAGGGTTTTGTATCAGGTTTCAGGGAGCAGAGGTTGCGTATACATGTTTTTTGATTCGGGGACGATCACCGGGACGGTATGACTAATGCTACAATCTCTGTGAAAACTCCGGAGCAACTGAAAGCTCGAGGCGCGCCACTGACTTCTGTGTAGACTGCTTCGAGAGCCCTAAACCCCCTCGGTGAACCCTAAACCCTAAACACTGAACCCTAAAACCCTAAACCCTAAAACCCTAAACACAGCTGGGGTTCAGGGTTCGGGATCCAGGGCTTAGGGTTTAGGGAGCAACCGATGTTTCTGGAATCTGGAAGGCCAAGGCAAGCTTTCTTTTAAGGGGTGCCGTATCACCTTCTGCGGAGTAGCCGGTCCGATGCTGTCAGAACCTGCCTTCAGTGTTTCAAGTCTTGGATAGGCAATTTCTGGAGAAGAGACTGCATGTCAACATCTGCGTCGCCTTTGAAGAGACCTTATATAGGGTGGACACACGGGTATTACTTGGTGAAACATGCAACATTCAACATCACCCTCTCATGGTACCAGCAAGCCCAACTAAGAATTGACTTGCCCCATCAATGCCTCTGCATGTCTTCGGGCGCCAGACCCTTCGCACAGGACATGGGGTTCGGCTTTTGTGTACGGGCGATTGAACCTTTTCCCCCTCAGATTGGGTTAGCGTGTGGAACCAAAGGGGTCCGCGTATTCTGTCTCCTGGCTCTGTCTATGGGGTGCGGTTCACGATGCAAGCCTCGCAGCACAAATCTTTGCTTTCAGGAAGGGCATGTAGCATTGCAGTTGCAATCAGCTGGCCGGATTGCCAACAGGTGCCTTGGATGCGTACCTTTCTGAACTGATTTTGTGAACGTACTCAACCGCCAACATGCCGACCGCCTGCGAAAGTACGAGTACCCGATGTGGCAAGGGGCTCCTGTACATGGTCCTGAACTGACGGGCACTCCGTTGCTGCTGAAACCTTGGACTGTTCCTGCTGCAGCTGCTGTCATCTTTGCTGGTGTTGGCCTTGCCGTTGCTACTTGTAGTTATCAAGATGATGAGCGCACCCTAAACTCCCAGGTACCTACTACATCGGGTACTAGAGCCCCTAGTGCCCTATATAGTAGGTACCTGGGGGGTTTGGGGCACCCATAACATGTCTTCCAAACTCCCAATCCGTCCCCTGGCCTTGGGAAGTGCGGAGTCGCTGGACGCCCCTTCCGAGACCTCCTGGCTCCAGGGGTCGCGAGGGCGAGAGAAGTGGAAGCGCATCTTTAAAGCAGGGCCTGAGATGGCCTCAGTACCGGTTCTGCTTTGGGGGATTCTGCATAATGAGGCTCCGCCCATGGTTTGCATGAAGCCTGAGATGCCTTTTTTTTCTGACGATCCGGAGAGCGTGGCTTCAGGCATATTATAGCCATGCCCAGCCAGAGCAAGAGGGGCGGGGACGCTCTGGTTCTCAGCTTCCCTTCCCCGGTCTTTGCCTCCCACGAGCAGGCCTCCTCAAAACAAACCTCCGCAAGCTCAAGCCCCTTCATAAACACCAAAAGAAACAGTGTAAACCCTGACTCTAAAGTCGAAAATCACATGGCTAAAGAAAGCCAGGCCTTGACATTCTCAAGGCGAATATTCGCCAGGAGTGTCTCTGGAGTCTGCGTGCGTTTCAGGAAGAGCCTTTGCCAAAGCAGTGATGCTCAAGACTGCTTGCATCTCACAGATGTGACAGCATGCCAAAGATTGTCCCACAACCTGTTAAGTTTATCACCTTGCGGAAGCTCTGTTGGGGAGGCCCGGAGTAGAAATATCGTGCAACAGAATCAACCACTGTTGCGAACTGAGCTCCAAAAACGATAGGAAGATAACAGGCAGCAGCCTTGACGACATGATACGACATGTAATGTAGTTCCACGGACCAAATCATGTCCGAAGGAGCCGAAACGCTGAAGTCATCGTTCACCCAGCCCCGATGATTTGAAAGAACTATTCTCCCTGTAAGATCCACACAGCATGTGCCCCAATCTAGCCTTCGCATCTGCGGATCGATGAAGTAGGCAGCAGGAATTTTGCCGCCTGCGACAGGGCGGCAGTGGAAAGGGCTCTAATACAGGGGCTATGTTCCGTCATAATCCCTTTCGAATTATATTATACCATGAGGTACCCCGATGCCTATTTCCAGTCATGAAAGCCTCCCAGCAAGTGGTTGAGTGTGTGCCTTGGGCTCCTGAAGAGCTCGAATTCGGAAACGAGTCACAGAGACTGTCTCGATCTCCATATGTCTGTCGGTTTCTCTGGCTCTCTGACTATGTATATATATATATATATCTCTCTCTCTTTCTCTCTCTCTCTCTGCTTTTCTGTGGTTGTTGTTGTTGTCGTCTCTTCACCTCTGTGTGTGTGTTGTATACCGGTCCAATACGTGTATATGTATGCATGTGTCCGTGTGTGTACATATGTATGTATGTATGTATGTATGTATGTATGTATAGAGATAAAGGATGTGGATGTAAAGGTAAGCAGTAATAAATAAATAAATAAGTATATATACATAATTATGAATGCATACGTCAGAGTGTATGTAGAAACCTATGCGTGTATAAGTCTAGGCAGACAGACACAGCGACAGCGAACAGGCCAAACCATTGAGCCGTGTCAAGAGATGGAGACGCGGGACGGACAGAAAAAAGGAGGGAGGCAAAACAGTGCGACACCAAACACTGCGAGCTGGAGACAAAACAACAACAGACAAAGAGTCGGACAGAAGACATGCAAACGATTGCAAACAACCAGAGGACGCTAGCATATCACGGAGGACGGCTGTGTCTCTAGCTAGAGAGAGAGAGAGAGAGAAAGAGAGAGAGAGAGAGAGGGAGGGGCATGGCAGCACGCACACATCGATACATACATCCATACCTACATACGTACGTAAACACACACACACACAGACGCATACCTACCGTGCCATGCCATCCCATGCCATCCCATGCCATGCCAT